CAACATTTTTTTATTTTTTCAATACAGGACATTCTGATTAAAATTCAGATATATCGTGACTAGCGTCATACATGTATGAGCATAACGAAATCGAAGATCTATGTTTTACTTAGATTGCAATACAGGATATCCTTTTAATTCGCTGTTTCAGAATCTAATGCATTCTGGGTAATATTTTCAAAAGCGTTCACCAAAACGTTGTGATTGGTTAAAAACGTCCTAAACAAAGGAAATTCAACCAATGACGTAACGTTGTTTTCATTTTGGTGTACGAACAATGAGATTACCGATAGTCTTTTAGATTCTGAAAAGGCAAATTACAAAGATGTTCTTATGACTCTCATATATTCAAATTTCGCTGGACTTCATCAACTTTCTGATTTTGACTTAGTGAGGGAAACGAATATATTACCTCAAAACCAAAAGTTCGAATTACCATTATTGTCCAAATATTCATAAAATAGCGATTGTATGTGGTTCCAGAGACATATAATACAAGAGATTCGCAACTCTAGTAGAGTCTATATAACAGCCAATGAAATGACGTGGCCACCGGAAAGCCGATTAATCCGATGGATTTATGGGTAATAACCCGTATTGTTGTGTAAAAGGTTCTACGCCTCACGATTTTTTTAATGGATAATGCCGATACCTTTCACAGCTAAAGCATGCAAGTATATTTAAAAGTTACAAAAAACTAATTCTAATAATTTGTTATTGATAAAATGTGTTCTAATGATGAGATTAATCAAATACAAACAAAGTTAAAACTCGGCCCATTTTACTTCACCTATTGCCGTAGAAACCATTTGATCTACCAATTTTTATCTTAAAACTTGAAAATATGCTAATAAATATATGATTTTATGGGCCAATAGTACTCCCAAATGTTGTTTCGTGAAAATAAGACTATTTTCGTAAAATTTGATCCAACAATGTGGCGATTTTTTCTGATTGATACCCGAATTTTTTTTATTAAACAGGCTAAATATTGAAATTGTTCATGGACAAATTTCCTTAAATCAGTCCTTCTTTTTTGTGCACTATGAAATTTATAGCCTGCATTTTGTTAGACATTTTATTCATTTTTCATTCTGTTTATAGCAAAGTTGTTTATGTTCTCCTATTCTGGAGTCATTGTTTTTTTTTCCTTCTTTTTAGGGTGCCAAAGATGAACGAATGCAGTAAATTTACAAAAGGAGTAAAATTTTCCTATTAAAGGAAACCTTCTGCTGGTCGTAATATTATGAATGAGCTTCATATGCATCTGTTGTCGTTTCAGACTACGCTTCTCGTTCAAAACATGAACCTAATTCATTTTTAAATTAAAATCGTATTGAGGACATTTCAATGGTGACTGCAAAAGATATATATATATATATATATATATATATATATATATATATATATATATATATATATATATATATATATATATTTGATAATAAAAGATTTTATTTACACCAAGGATTTGTATATGTATACACATAAACAATCTAACTTTTAAATTGCCATCTCTTTACCCCAGAATAAAAAGACAAAAACCGCTACAAATGATTAAAAGACAAAAACCACTACAAATGATTGTCTCGTGGAAACAAGGTTATAAAATACTTTTTAAATAGTGTCTTCCGTGTTGCTTTGATGTATGACCTGTGTTTTTTTATAGATTTTTTGTTGCTTCGAGGACACACATATCCATCTATGTATGCAGTATTGTCAATTGTTTTTGTTGGTGGGTCTCTCGCTTATGTTTTCGTCCTTTTCACTATCAACAAAGAGTTCGTTATCAGTTTATTCAACTAGGAGTATATCTAAGTCGTAACTATTAAGATTGTCATCCCACGAAATTAAGATTGTCATCCCACGAAATTAAGATTGTCATCCCACGAAATAAAATCGGAATTTTCCATATTGCGTGCACATGAATGAAGCTTTATTCAAATGAGAAATTAATTGTAATTTTCTTAAATATTAATTCTCAATACACACTTCGAACATGAAGAAACCATAAATTTACCGACAATCATTTAAAAAAACAACTCAATGCAAGCCTATATGATAAAACTGTCAAACAACACTTAGAAATCAAACATTTACCGACAATCCTACAGAAAAAAAAACTCAATGAAAGCCCAATGAATGAGGAATATAAAAATAAATAAAATTTTAATAATTTATAAATATCAAAAATAAAAAACAAAGCCTATCATGATTAACAATTAATTAACAAATAAATTAAGTTTTTTCCATATTAATTAATTATACATTTTGTGACTTGTATTTTTGGAAAGAGTGTGGACACCTGTGGTGTGACAACTTCTTGTTTACAAGGTGTCAATTAAAACTCATTATTTATAACACGTTCGTGATTTACCTGGTCATCGAATAATTCAAACCTAATGTACATGTCACACTGTGAAATTATGTCTCCGAGACAGGTGTATATTCAATAGAAACCCATTATGTAACTATCAAATAAAATGAACTCTGACACAATTTATCAAGTGTTAATTATTTAATATCAGTTTTTTTTTTATACAATATCAAATTATGTCTCTTTTTCAATAATACAAATCTAAAATCAAAATTACATTAAAATAAATAATTATATATGTACTCAAATTATATTTAATTAATTATGATAAATTTAACACTGAAACAGTTTATGTTATGCTTAAACATTCGTCCTTACTTCGAGTACTTTTAATGACTTTATTACCAAAGGAGATCTCGCGAGGTTTAACTAGTGGCCGCGTGTTATTACGGGATTTCGCCGAGTTGCGAATCTCTTGTATTATATGTCTCTGGTGGTTCCTAACTTCTTTTTGTCCAATAAAATAGTAATAATAATAATAAAGTCTTACAGAAATATTGAAGGAGAAATTTTAATATGTTCAAGTCCATTAGCTCAGAGTTAAAAAGACTGGTTTTGTATATATGAAATTAAGTTTATGGACACTGCAAAAATAGTATATAACATATCTAGAAGATTATCAGTTGAGGCCACAAACTCACACCCTGTGCCCCATTTGTATTGCTGATCATTTCTGCAGTTAGCAGTTTCTACCAAATTTATTAAAGTTTTCAAGATAATACTAGTCAAAAACTAAAAAACTAGTTCATCAAATCATCATTTTAGGGCAATAACTCCTATTATGAGCAATCCAATGGTGTATATCATTTTACATGATAGTAGATCTTGTATTGCTTATCATTTTTTTGTAGATCTTGTATTGATGATTACAGTTTCTACCTATCTATTATAGTTTTGATGACTAAAAATATAGTCAAAAATCATCATTTTAGGGCAATAACTCCAATAATGAGTCATCCAATGGTTTTATGGATCTTGTTTTGATGCTAATTTTTGCTCTTAACAATTTCTACCTACCTATTTTATTTTTCAAGATAATAAGCAAAAACACAAAAAAAAATATCTCCTATCAGGAGTAATCAAACGGTTTCTGTTATATAAGCATTTTTGTTGAGCATCTACCTGTATATTATAGTTTCACAGTTAATTGGTGGGGAAAATGAACCCAATTTATTAATAAAATGCTTCGCTGAGCGCAGCCTGATACGACCGCAGAGGTCAAACCCTGAACAGTTGGTACAAATTTGGACACAATATTAAGTATATATGATACTGTCTGAATTTGGATTGTGAACAAATTTTTTACATAATATAGATTTCTGACACAAAATAAATTTTGAAAAAAAATATGAATCCTCTAAAAAAATTGGAACCCCCCCAACTTTTTGAAACCCCCCTTAGAGCAATAACCCCAAAACTCGATCCCAGCCTTTCCTTTGTAGTATGGAACCTTGTAGTACAATTTCAGAGAGATCCATACACTTAAACACAAGTTATTGTCTGGAAACTATAAAAATGCTTGTTTTTGGCCCTTTTTTGGCCCCTTATTCCTACATATTTGGGCAATTAACCCCAAACTCAATCTCAGCCTTCCCTTTGTGATATGGAACCTTGTGGTACAATGTCAGAGAGATCCATACACTTACACACAAGTTATTGTCAGGAAACAAGAAAAATGCTTGTTTTTGGCCCCTTTTTGGCCCTTAATCCTAAACTGTTGGCCCCATAACCTAAATCCCAACCTTTTACTTGTGGTATAAAACATTGTCGTACAATTTCAGAGCAATCGAAATACTTATACACATTTTATCCTGAAACTAGAAAAATGCTTGTTTTGGGCCCCTTATTCCTAAACGGTTGGGACCATCATCCCCAAAATCAATCCCAACCTTCCTTTTGTGGTATTGAACCTTTTTAAAAAATTCATAGAGATCCATTCCCTTAAACTAAAGTTATTGTCCGGAAACCAATGTGTCTTCGGACGATGAAAATGCAGACGACGACGACGACATCATACCATTATACGATCCCAAAAAATTTTTTGCGGTCATATAAAAATATTGTCATTTAAGGGTATGAACTCCTATTAGCAGTGGTCAGATAATTTTGGTGGAAATGGATGGTAGATAGATCTTGACATTCTGAGCATTTTTCAGTGGCGGATTCAGAAATTTTCATAAGAGGGGCCCACTGACTGCCTAAGAGGGGGCCCGCTTCATTCATGCTTCAGTGATTTCCCATATAATCAACAAAATTTTTTTCTCAAAAGGGGGGGCCCAGGCCCCCTGAAAAACCCTCTAAATCCGCCCCTGTTTTTGCAACGTATAACGAAACTGAATTTTTACAAATCGAACAAGATGAGTATGACTTGGTTAATAATTTATGTGGGTGGTTAATATGAGACAGCTGCAATTACAAAATGATGAAAATATTTTAGATGTGACTGAGACATTTCATCATCAAATTGGTATTTGACTCATTTTTGTCATTGGAGGCAAACAAGATATTTTATCTGCAAATAATTTAAAGCAATCAGTTTATGATGCGTTGCAAAGTTGATGTTATTTATACATATCAGTCCCATTTGTTCTAATTTGATAAAATGACAAAATACAAACAAAAGTATTTTACCTTAGTTCTTTATTTCTTTTTTTTTTTCAATAATAAAATTACATGCTTGTATAAAAATACATAGAATATTTCCATAACAGATAAATTGCCCGTAGAAACAATGCTGATTAAGAGACAGAGATAAAATAGATGTCTCACTCATACTAAAAGAAAAAAAAATATTCTAAAACATACTGAAAATCAAAATCGAATACTGTTAATTCAGAAATGATTGCTATGCGACCAGACCAGTTTGCTTGAAACAAAAACTTGTTTTTTCAAATTTTGATAGTTTACTTGTATGCAGCATTTCCTGAAATTGTAATAATAAATTTAACATTGTTGCCACTAGTTCAACAATTGTAATTATAAATTTAACATTGTTGCCACTAGTTCAACAGTTGTAATTATAAATTTAACATTGTTGCCACTAGTTCAACAATTGTAATAATAAATTTAACATTGTTGCCACAAGTTCAACAATTGTAATAGTAAATGAATGCAGAAATTTCTGAATTTAGAGTAATCTAGAACCAAATCTAAACCTAATAAAGGAGAAGGCTTACCAATGAATTTTTGTAGCCCAAGATTATTATTTCTCTCTTATTTTTTTCCACACTTATTTTTCCTTTATGATTCAAAGGGCATAAACATTCTTTCTGACGTTAAAATTGACATATCTAATAGCCTTTTTTTCACACATATTCGGGACAAAATATATATGAGCCAAGGTCAAAAATATATTTTACACACATTAACTTCCATGAAGGTGTAAACTTTTGCCCTGAGTGGAAGGTGAGCACCTTTGAGATGAAGAATTGCAATAAGAACGCTGTTCCTTTGTCATTGATTTTGTTCAAGTGGTTCATTGGGACTTAGTGTCATGAAAAATTTACCTAATCCTTTCTTTTCCATCCAAAAGTTTTATTTGAAAAAAGAAACAATAAAGAAATATTCACATCAGTTTTGTCCCGCTGCTAAATTCTGTACCAAGCATTTCTACTTTTTATTTTATTATTGTTAACTAGATAAAGTAGGTTTCTGTATCTTATTGAAAATTGCAGAGAGAAGAGAAAATATAAAAAATTTGGACATTCGTATGACAGAGAAAACACACAGCTACTTCACAATATAAATAATACTTTTGAATGTACATAAGCATGTAAATTATTCATAAGATGTAAAATAATGATATAACTTGTACGTATTGTTGATTCATTTATTTTCGTTTTAACCAACTTTCAAAGATTCAGGCTACTAATTACATAACCTTGGCAGCATGGGTAATAGAAAGTTGCCAAGACAACAAGAGATAAGAACTACACTAAGTCTTCACTCCAAAATGATGTCATAATCAGCTTTCTTAAAAAGCTGACCCCAAGAATGACTTTTTCAGGACACAATAATGTATTAACAAATAATAAACTTTTGATGGTATTTTCGAACTTGGTGCATGTATTCATTGATTATTTATAGGTCAAGATGAAATGCTCATTGCAGGGCCAAATCAATTTCGAAATACAGCAAAGATACTGATCGATTATTTAAAGCACAAGATGAAATGCTCATAGCAGGGTCGGATGAGATTTGTAAATACAGCAAAAATATTACTAACATCATAAGTTTTGATTCATAACTACTAACTATTGATAAGTATGATGAAAAAACAGATTTACTTAATTATCATAGACACTAAAAAAATAAAACAAAACATTACAACAACTTATCATTGAGATCTCTGTAAATACTGTGAATGCATTCAATTTTGTGGTGTACCAATTTCATGGAGTGAGCAAAATTATATTTGAGATATCCAGAAATACTGTGAATGTATTCATTTTCGTGGAGTACCAATTTCATGGATTATGCAAAAACATTTTTGTTGATACTTGCTCTTGTTGATTTGTGGCTTTGACAAATTTGCATTCAACCCTGCAGAAATTATACTTGTTGAACATATAACTTCATGGATTACCTTTACCCGTAATATCCATAAAGGTTAGTACCCTAAACAAATAGTCATTAATCCACAGGATATAAACTTAACAAAGTTTCAAGTATATTCTGTTAATTCAGAAATTTTGGCATGGTTTTCCTTTTTTTGCAAATTTATGCAAAAATGCAATTGAATGATACAAATCTGATAATTAACATTTTATCATTGCAAAAATGCAATAAAATAATATGCATCCAATAATAATTTATTTTTCAACATTGCAAAAATGCAATAAAAAATTCAGCATCTCAAATCAGACTTTATATTTTAATATCTGATTGCGTTAATTTTGCATTACAAAATTTCTGATATCGCATTAAATAAACATTCACAATAAAAAATACATGCATTAAATTCTGAATTTATAGGAAGTAAAATGGTTTTTATGATTTTTACAATATGAAATCTGAACACATAGTATCAACCATTATCTAGGTACATGTATGTGCAATTGCAGTCTAATGTTTTGTGCACAAAAATTTCAATGGCTAACACAAATTGATTATATATTTCATGTCATATGTAATTTGCAAATCTCTAACTAAGGCAAGGAACAAATAAAAAAATCTGCACTACTAAAATAATGAGGTCAAATTTGTTAGCCAGCATGTTGTTATAACAACGAATGAAAGAATTCAACTTTATATATAACTAATATAGAACAAAAGTGTTGATTAAAAATTACCCAATTCCAGGTCCATGTTTTCCATATAATTAATATTATTAATAATTAACAAGTTCCAGGTCGAATCTGATATTGATACCAATAGTATATGTCACATGTAGTGTCCGGTTTTGTGGTAAGAAACCAGGACAGGTCCAAACAGAAAGATATTGAAAGCAGAGAAAACTGTGCACCTTACAATCAGCATGACTTTATCAGATGACAATACTTATACTAAAAACCCAGGCGTAAAATAAGGCATAGGTACTTTAATTCAGTCATGCACCCTCATGTTCTAGTAGAATGTAATAGTCTCTGGTCCAGCTATGATAACCTTGCAGCTTTTACATGTTATAAACTGATTGATTGATGTTTGTTTTACTGTTATGGACGAATAGTCTAGAAGAAAATTGCATGAACCAGGGAAAATCAACTTGAAAAGACTTAAATATTTATAACATAAAAGTTCAGAAAAAATATAACACATATATCACAAAATATGAAAAATAATATATAACAAATCATAAACATTAAAATATTTAAATGATTGCATTAATATATAAATGAGAAACTTAACAAATATAAAACAATAACATATTTTGTTTGCTACTTTGATAATCCAATTTGTTAAAGACTTTTGAATCACAAATCAGGCACAATAAAACCTTAAAACAAGCAGCATCTGTTGCAGCAATATGCAGTACAGTCAAGCCTGTTATAAAAGGTCACCTTTATCAAGTGAAAATCTTGTCACCTATGCATGAGGGTGTGGATTGGGTATAAATAGGGAATAATGGGCAAAAAAATAAGAATAGAGAAAAATTGGGGAATAAAATAAAGAATAGAGAATAATGGGGTGAAGAAATATAAAGAATAACTGCAAAAATAAAGAATTGGGTAAAAATATGCTGATTACAGAAAAGAACAATGTCTAGAATACAGTTCAAGTACAATACAAGTAATTACAGAATAGCAATTATTTTTAAATATAAAGAATTATGAGCGAAAAATTAAAGAATACAGAAATGAAGGCTCATGCCTTCCTTTTGTTCTGCGGGTGACCTTTATTCACAGGTTTGACTATACTTACCAAGGACATTATTTCCCTTTTTCTAAAAAAGCATTTTAAAATTGTTTGACTGTTAGTTTAAGGTCGTTGACATTTGTGTTTTTCAGATAAACAAACTAAATGAGACAATGTCTGTATTTTTTTTCTTCAAAAGCCATTAATTCAAAACAAATAAAATGTCAAAAATTAATCCTTAGATACTAAAGTTTTATCTTTTTATATCTGGGAAACAAATTACTGGTACATTTTTTATTTGCGGAAATGGGATATTTTTTGCTGACATTTTGAGTATCAAAGTAAATCTTCTTACATCTGGGAAAAAATTAGTAGTACAGTTTTATTTGCAGAAACGGGATATTATTTGCTGACCTTTTGAGTATCTGATTTGCTGGAGTCTACTTCGATAAAAAAAAAAATCAGTCTCATGTTGGCATCTCAGCAGTGGCAAGTATTTCATTCCTACATTGAAATTTACAGTGTATACATAGCAATTTCAAAAGTAGCAAACAAAATATTGACATGTGATCTAGTGAATTAATTACTAAGTTCTACAGAGTCTAAGCTGGTTGAACTGGGTATTGACGTAAGAGGTTTCTGTTGCTGACGAACATTCCAATGTAAACACCCAGCTAACCCTGCAAACCAATCGTCTATCTGATCTCTAGCACATATAGATGGTACTGGATACTGAGCTGTCGTTATCCGTAAGCTGGAATTTATATAAATTTAATGTTTATTGAACTTTTCAAAATTAACTAATCCCCTTATTATCATTTCATTCATGTAGATCCTCAGGTATAGCAAATAGTTTGTAAATTTAATGTAGAATTTTTGCCAATCAAATCTATTTTACAAACATACAGAGTTAGAATTAAAGTTTCTATTTAAAGATTACAAGACATCATTTCATTGTGAATATAAAATTTACTTTTCTACTGTTTAATATGTTTTCGACAGAATAAATTTTTTATTTTTTAAATGCTGTGCACATTGTTGTGGTATAGTACTGCAGCTTGAAAATGTTGCTCTCCAAAAGCTCAAAACAGTCATAACTAAAGGTTTAGATAAAATGCTTCGCTGAGCGCAGCCTGATACGACCGCAGAGGTCGAACCCTGAACAGTTGGGGCAAATTTGGACACAATATTCAAGCTTGATACTGTCTGAATTTGGATTGTGATCAAATTTTTGACATAATATAGGTTTCTGACACAAAATAAATGTGATCAAAGATCTTATAAATCCATTGCGCAATACTGTGCAATTGAAGATTTCTTCTTGAAACTTTTCAAAAATTCGAAATTTTGAAAAAAAAATATGAATCCCTTAAAAAAATTGGGAAAAAATTCCCCCCACCCCCCCCCCCCCCCCCCCCCCCGCCAACTTTTTGAAACCCCCATTGGAGTATTAACCCCAAAACTCAATCCCAGCCTTTCCTTTGTAGTATGGAACCTTGTAGTACAATTTCAGAGAGATCCATACACTTACACACAAGTTACTGTCTGGAAACTAGAAAAATGCTTGTTTTTGGCCTTTTTTTGGCCCCTAATTCCTACATGTTTGAGGCAATTCACTCCAAACTCGATCCCAGCCTTCCCTTTGTTATATGGAACCTTGTGGTACATTGTCAGAGAGATCCATACACTTACACACAAGTTATTGTCTGGTAACTAGAAAAATGCTTGTTTTTGGCCCCTTTTTGGCCCTTAATTCCTAAACTGTTGGCCCCATAACCCCTAAAATGAATCCCAACCTTCTACTTGTGGTATTAAACATTGTGGTACAATTTCAGAGCAATAGAAATACTTATACACAAGTTATTATCCTGAAACTAGAAAAATGCTTGTTTTGGGCCCATTTTTGGGCCTCTAATTCCTAAACGATTGGGACCATCATCCCCAAAATCAATCCCAACCTTCCTTTTGTGTTATGAACCTTCTTAAAAAATTTCATAGAGATCCATTCACTTAAACTTAAGTTATTGTCCGGAAACCAATGTGTCTTCGGACTACGATGACGACGCAGACGCAGACGACAACGACATCATACCATTATACAATCCCAAAAATTTGTTTGCCATCGTATAAAAAAGCAACCTGCATGAAGTATGTCTACTTATCCATCCACTGACCTTGCGTATTTGTTCAATCAAAAATAACTTACCAATCTCCCTGGATTAAAACATGTCAATTTCTCCAATCTAGATAACTAACCAGTCTCCCTCCATTAAAACTTGTCTATTTCTCCAATCTAGAAAACTACCAGTCTCCCTGCATTAACTTTTGCCTATTTCTCAAATCTAGATAACTTACTAGTCTCCCTACATTAACTTTTACCTACTTCTCTAATCTAGATAACTTACTAGTCTCCCTACATTCACTTTTGTCTATTTCTCACATCAAAGATAACTTACTAGTCTCCCTACATTCACTTTTGTCTATTTCTCCCATCAAAGATAACTTACCAGTCTCAATACATTGACTCATGCCTATTTCTCCCATCAAAGATAACTTACCAATCTCCCTGCATTAACTTTTGTCTATTTCTCCCATCAAAGATAACTTACCAGTCGCCCTACATTCACTTTTGTCTATTTCTCCCATCAAAGACAACTTACCAGTCTCCCTACATTAACTTTTGTCTATTTCTCCAATCTAGATAAACTACTATTCTCCCTACATTAACTTTTGTCTATTTCTCCCATCAAAGATAACTTACCAGTCGCCCTACATTCACTTTTGTCTATTTCTCCCATCAAAGACAACTAACCAGTCTCCCTACATTTAATAACTTTTGTCTATTTCTACAATCTAGATAAACTACTATTCTCCCTACATTAACTTTTGTCTATTTCTTCCATCAAAGATAACTTACCAGTCTCCCTACATTAACTAATGTCTATTTCTCCCATCAAGATAACTTACCAGTCTCAATACATTGACTCATGCCTATTTCTCCCATCATAGATTACTTACCAGTCTCCCTGCATTAATTCTTGCCTATTTCTCCCATCAAATGATAACCAAACAGAACTTCTGGCATTTTTTGCTACCATTATCTAAAGTATACATATAATTAATATATAGTTTCAGTCTATACAGAAAATATTCAATATTAAATTTCACTTCACAGATTTTTTCACTGAAGCAAAACTGAAAAAGTTTTTTTTTCCAGAAACAAGAAGTAGCATGCAAAGGATATCCCATCACTCACTTCACTGAATAAATATTCCATGCTTAAAGTTGATGTACTGTCAAACAGGAAACTACTCCCTTGTAGATCTGAAATGTGCTTACATACTGTACAACTGAACATAATAAAAATCAAAGCCAAATGTCAAAATTGTTTCTTAATACGTATGTAAGTTTAGTTGAATTAAGATTGATTGATTGATTGTTGGTGTATAATGCCACTTTCAGTAATGTTGGCTATATCATGGGGAACAGTTGTTTAATTGTGGAAGAAGCTGGATCACTGAGAGAGAACCACTGATCTTCGGCAAGAAAACTGGCAATCCAAGTCAATTGAGATCGGTGTAGAATATGCCATACTGGAGGGGCCTGATGGGTTATTTTCGTTCTTCGTGATCGGCGCATTTTCGCTATCGTGATCCGTTTTTCAACAGATTTATTACTCTTTTTATATTTTCGTGATCCGTGATCATGGAAATTTATTTTCTGTGAATCGTGATTGACAAAAAAATCAACTCGTGAATCGTGATGAGACCCCCCCATCAGGCCCCTCATACTGAAAAGGGTTTATACTAACAAACTCAGTATTGACAGGCTACTGATCAGTGTAGAGAAACTTCTTAGACCACTTGGCCACTAAGGCCCTTTGCATTCAGAAGAAAACAGTCGCTCTCTTGCAATTTAATAAATTTCACATTCAACTGCAGCATGTAGGGGGTCTTCCAACACAGATAATGATTATGACATTGACTATAAAAACAGTGGTAATGGTGACGACAACAAAAACTTATAATATTGTTAATTGGTTTATTTTTTAGGACCAAATCAGTTTGTGAGGTGTTATTTTCATATCTTTCTTGCTTTTGATTCTAATTTTCATTAAAAACAAAATTTATGCAAGTGGATACTTCAGGATTCTATCTTACTTGCGAAAATTGAGAAAATAAACCCTTCACAAAAGTTTCTCACAATACAGTAGACTATCAATAATACCTTGATTTCCACTCCAGCTGGAACTATAACTGGTCGGAATGATAACGAATGAGGACAAATAGGACAGAGTATTATAGCTGGTACGCTGGGATGAACCATGGATGCTCCTGCAGATACAGCGTATGCAGTACTTCCTGTTGGTGTGGAAATAATCAAACCTGAAAATATAGGACAGATTGTAGGTGTCTGAACATGTAGGACAAATAATAGATGTATTTAACCTTTTGGGTATTTAGCTGAATAGTGGTCTCAGAATTACCCTAGATCTGTCTCCGAATGAACTTTTGTTGTTATGCAAAAATCACTTTTTAATTATGATGTTAAATGTTTTAAATTGTAATGCAATATTTTTTCCGGACTTTGTGTGGTTTTAACTAATGGCAGACAAATTTGCATACTTGTAAGTGTATATTCGTCTATTGGTGTGGAAATAGTCAAACCAAATAATATAGATCAAGTATTTGGTTTATATACTATCAAACATGAAAATATAGGAAAACGTTTCAGTGTGGATAACATTTAATCTAAAAACATGTCACATTTTTGAAATTGATTATGAGGCAACTTTAAAGTGTGACAATAACAAACCCGTTAATATATGGCAAGTTGTTGCAATGATGTGGCAAAAACATTAATAAACATGTGGTTTATTTCAGTGTTGATAGGCTGGTGGTTACTGTAGATGAACTACTTAGCCACGGACAATGATGGAGGCCAAAAAATTCATACGAAAATTTCTGAAATTTTGAAATCTGCCTTTAAATAAATTAAATAGATATAAGAAGATGTGGTATGAGTGCCAATGAGACAACTCTCCATCCAAGTCACAATTTGTAAAAGTAAACCATTATAGGTCAAAGTACAGCCTTCAACCTGTAGTCTTGGTTCACACTTAACAGCAAGCTATAAAGGGCCCCAAAAATGACTAGTGTAAAACCATTCAAACAGGAAAACCAACGGTCTAATCTATATAAAAAAACGAGAAACAAGAAACACTTATGAACCACATCAACAATCGACAACCACTGAACATCAGTCCCTAAAGTCTGTATCTTAATATGACAAATAATGCACATAGTCAGTTTGCTATTAAATATAAAAAGTAGCATGATAATTCAGTACAAACCATCTCCTTGAACTGATGTAACAAGTCTTCCTTCTACAAATAGGTCTACATTACTAAGGTACGGTGATTGTGCACGGTCGACAACGACTTCATTTAAAACCTAAAACATATTAACATCATTATTACTTCATATTTACTAAAAGTTACAACTGTTCTCAGAATTCATGTTTTTGTGGGTCTCAATTTTTGTGGATTTATGTAATGTAGTCAAAAAATTTTAAGTATGATTTTTTGTTTGTTTCAAGCATTAATGAAAGTAGAATATTGAAATAATATATCACTATTAGCAGCCAGTTTGGTTCAATTTTGTAAAAATAAGATCAAGATCATTGCTGATATATCATTGCCTTGAGAAACAATAATTAAACCTCATTTGGGTCCATATGCATGCAACCTTTAATTTGATCTTTAGTTGGTTATTAAATGCGCATGTGCTCAACATGATTGGTTATTAAAATGAAAAAAATGTCAAAATTGAAAAAATTAACAACAGAGCTACCAGAAAGACCCATTTCCTTGAGTGATTCCGCCCACAAAATCATTTGTATACAGGTATTTATATGTTTATTAACAAATTTTTATTCAATCTATGACATAAAACCAATCAAGCCTAGAAATATCATCATAATACTGTTGCATGTGCGCGTTTGTCAATTTTTGTTTGTTTGTTTTTTGTTTTTTGTTTTTTTTTGGGGGGGGGGGAGGAGGGGGGTTTATATCAGGTCACATGACCATTGGCAGAGGTCAGAGGTCAGCTCAATTGTTAATTAGATTAGGCACAAAGTACTTATACTTTATTACAATTTTAAGCATTGGTACTTGTTTTCTGTAATTCTGGTAAATATTTTAGTATGTTTTAAACAAGTTTGAGTCAATGTGGTAGTAATGAATTTGGCAGTAATGCCACTTTCAAATCCACATGTCCAACTGCCCTTTATAAGGGTAGGAATGCCCTTTACCGTCAGGCGTCTAACCATCATTTTCGATTACTGATAGCTTCAAATTTATTAAAATTTTATTGTGATTCTTCAAAAAATATCCTTATCAGAGGTTTCAAATAATTAACCGTTACTGTTATTTTTGGAAAGAATTTAATGTGATTCTTCAAAATCAGTCGATTTTTTATCGTCATAAAGAAAGTGTACATTTTATCGTCATGCACCAAAAATTACCGTTAACGTCATTTGGCAAGATTTTTTACCGTTATTCATCATGAAGGAACTCCCATTACGACCCTCCTTTATTTCAATTTGACGTTTCAGAATCTAAAGATCTCAAAAGTGTTGTGGGTATTTCAATGTTCGTATTCCTAAATGAAAATTATGTGATGTCATTGATTGAATTGCCATTGTTTAGGATATTATATTAGCCAATCACAACGTTAAGATGTACGCTTTTAAAAATATTACTCAATATTCATTAGATTCTGAAATGGCGAATTGTTTAGGCGTAGAAACATATTTTTCGACTGTCTACTCTCAAGTTTCCAGCTGTTCTCAATTACAGCAATTTGAGAAATCTTAAAATATACTTACTAAATAACTTTGTTTACTGTCGGAATGATTGATATGTTTAATATGTGATACTTTGTGTGATTCAGACCCATATTTACACACTACACATTTCAGTCTATATCTTAATGTCAGATCTGCATGACCTAAAAATATACAATATATATATATATACGATATAATGCCAAGTGGTTTACTGCGATTCATTTTTTTTCGTGGATTGAGAAAAAATTGTAATTTAATAGATATTTAATTTTGTGGTTTTGCTACAGTCTGCATACAAGCCTATAGAAAATTTGTACTTTGTTGAACATTTAAATTCACAAGAGTGCACAAGCTGAAATGTCTCGCCTTCTTTACTGATCATTGATAATGATGTTATGTTGATAGTTCTAAATATAAAGCTTTACTACAACTATCACATAAACTTAACATGATCCAAGAAAATGAGGTCAAGGTCATATAAACCAAACAAGAAATACATGTACACCTTACAATCATTCAATACACTAAATATAGTTGACCTATTGCTTATAGTTTCTAAGATACAGACTTAACCAAGAAAACTAAACATTGACTAATGAACCATGAAAATGAAGTCAAGGTTAGATGAACAATGCCAGGCAGACATGTACAGCTTGCAATCCTTCCATACAACAAATATAGTTGACCTATTGCTTATAGTAATAGAAAAACAGACCAAAACAAAAAACTTAATATTGAGCTATGAACCGTGAAAATGAGGTCAAGGTCAAATAAAACCGGCCAGACTGACATGTACATCATAAAATCTTTCCATACACCAAATATAGTTGACCTATTGCATATACAATGTAGTATTAGAAAAAAAGACCAAAACTCAAAAATTTAACATTGACCACTGAACCATGAAAATGAGGTCAAGGTAAGAAGACACCTGCCAGCTAGACATGTACACCTTACAATCATTCCATACACCAAATATAGTAGACCTATCGCATAGAGTATAAGAAAAACAGACCAAAACACAAAAACTTAACTATAACCACTAAACCATGAAAATGAGGTCAAGGTCAGATGACACCTGCCAGTTGGACATGTACACCTTACAGTCCTTCCATACACCGAATATGCTAGACCTATTGCTTCTAGTATCTGAGATATGGACTTGACCACAAAACTTAACCTTGTGATCCATGATATGAGGTCGAGGTCAAGTGAAAACTGTCTGACGGGCATGAGGACCTTGCAAGGTAAGGGCATACCAAATATAGTTATCCTATTACTCATTATAAGAGAGAAATTAACATTATAAAAAATCCTAACTTTTTTTTCAAGTAGTCACTGAACCATGAAAATGAGGTCATGGACAATGGACATGTGACAGACGGAAACTTCGTAACATAAGGCATCTATATACAAAGTATGAAGCATCCAGGTCTTCCACCTTCTAAAATACAAAGCTTTTAAGAAGTTAGCTAACGCCGCCACTGCCGCCAGATCACTATCCCTATGTCGAGCTTTCTGCGACAAAAGTCGCATGCTCGACAATAAAACCGAAGCCTACAAATGTTGTATCCCAAGAATAATAATGAATCCACAGTATTATCATAGAGTTTAAACTTCAAGATTTCTAGTTTGCCAGGGTTTTTACACGTTTTCCTTGTCCATGACTCTGATTTTCTTAAAACAAATTTACTCTAGGAGATATTTTAGTGATTTTATTTGAATCGCACAAGTACATATAATTAATGAAATTTTTTTTAAAATCTATAAGCTATCTACATGTACATTGAAATTGACATCTTCAACTTTATCACAGACAATCAATTTCATGAGGGATTATACTGCATAATTCTGCCAAAGTTTTGTGTTTAATGTTTTACTTTCAGATTCAAAATGTTAATGACATGTAAATATAAGAATTGATTTTTTTTTTCAATTTAAACATAATAAAAGCAAGTGATGATTTCATTTTTGGCAGGAAGCGCTTCCACATTACATTAGAATTCTCTTTGCATATTGTAATATTTCATGCTATGTCCTTTGATTGAGTTAAGCTATTTCAGTTGATATTTTATAGTGTGTCTTTCTATGTTGTGATGTTACACTATTGTTTCAGAAAAAGGGTGAAGGTTTGGTACCATTAAAACTTTTAAACCAGCTGCATTTGTTTGCACCTGTCCTAAAGTCAGGAATCTGATGTTCAGTAGTTGTCGTTTGTTGATGTGGTTCATAAGTGTTTCTCGTTTTTTATATAGAATAGACCGTTGGTTTTCCCGTTTGAATGGTTTTACACTAGTAATTTTGGGGCCCTTTATAGCTTACTGTTTGGTGTGAGCCAAGGCTCCGTGTTGAAGACCGTACTTTGACCTATAATGGTTTAAATTTTGACTTGGATGGAGAGTTGTCTCATTGGCACTCATACCACATCTTCTTATGAGTGAGACACCAATTTTATCTCTGTCTCTTAATCAGCATTGTTTCTTCGGGCAAATTATCTGTTATGGAAATATTCGATGTATTTTTATACAAGCATGTAATCTTATTATTGAATAAAAAGTAATCAAGAACTAAGGTAAAATACTTTTGTTTGTATTTTGTCATTTTATCAAGTTAGAAAAAATGGGACTGATATGTATAAATAACATCAACTTAGCAATGCATCATAAACTGATTGCTTTAAATATTTTGCAGATAAAATATCTTGTTTGCCTCCAATGACAAAAATGAGTCAAATACCAATTTGATGGTGAAATGTCTCAGTCACATCTAAAATGTTTTCATCACTTTGTAATTGCAGCTGTCTCATATTAACCACCCACATAAATTATATCCTTACCTTCTAAAACATTTGTGACTTGTTCTTTAAAATTATCAAATGGAAATGGAGTTAAAAATCCTAATGATCCCATGTTGAATGCCATTACTGGTGGAACATTTGTCTGAAATAAAACATTGATTTATCTAAAATAAAAGAACAGTTCCAAAGTCCCCTGCATTGCATATGTTTTATTTGTTCAAGGGCAATAACTACCAAAAAAACTTTTTTTAGGTTCTTTAAAACTGTGACGAAAAAGTGAAGTATGGTACTTGAACTAAAGTGTGTATTCTTGTGGTTGTGTTGTGTTGTTGGGTGTCTAAGTTTCACTCGTACACGGACGACAAATGCCAAGTATACTCTTTAACAGGGTTACCCTTGAAATCTACTGGTAGCGTGATTAAGGGAATCTTGGTCACATAAATAAATAAATGGATCCTGGTGTAGTCTAAACGAAGTCTTGCAAGTGAACATAAACACGAAGTCGAATAAAAGTTCAATACTGTATTATTAAAATCATAAGACTATAACAAAGTTACAAGTATAACACAATGTACATCTAACTTCAGGCTCAACAATACGGCTCTACTCTCTACTAAATAAACGCAACTGTCCTCTCCTCACTATAAATTATCTCTCCCCCTTATCTCACGCTCTTTCTCTCTTTTATATGACTCCTACAAGCCCGTATACAAATATAGACTACTAGGGCAACCGGGCTCCGTGTAGTCCGTGCTCCGGTGATCCAGGCTCCTTGTGCTCCATGCTCCTTACATAAATTTACTAGGGCACCATATGCAAATCATTAGGGCTCACTAGTCAAACAAAAATCTAAATATAACTCCTAATTAATATAATCTCTGATGATCTCTAACTGTATTAAATGGCTATGTGTGAAAATACAGATGTACGTAAACCTGATACAATCAGATAACACACTTGACCTAACATATAAAAATGTTACAAAACTATGTTTAAATATCTTAAGAGAAATGTAGACTGAGATTACTTACAAAGCAATTTTCCTTATAATTAATATTTCCATGGGGCTTAAGTGTTTGAAAATAATTCATCTGCACTAATTTTAGAAATTGTCTGTGACATTGCAGATATAAACCTTTGATATGAATTTGGCAAAAATCTGGCAAGAATCGTAACACGTGAAATCGCTTACAAGACAGGATGGACATATGCCAGGTATTTCTATGTCCCCCTCAACGCAATGCATGGGGGGCAATTAATGAGCCATCTTAGGGAGGCATCTACATTTTTAAGGGAAATAACTCTTAACATTTGTATACCCATTGACATATATTATTCATGAATGGCTGGAAATGTAAGGGAGAAAGTTTTGCAAACTAAAGGTTTGAAATTTGAAATGGGAATTTAACGGTGAGGGCTTGAATCTCAAAAACTAGTTTAACCCCAGTTTATGTGCCTGTCCAAAAAAACAATATTGTCAATGGTTGTCTTCTGTATCTCTAAATGTGTGTATTTTTTTGTTGTTAATAATTTATATACATGAAGAGAATTTTACAAATGCTCATGGTTTGGTAACATTCATAACTTTCCTATACTGTTAATAAACTGGTTTTTTGACTTCATTTTTTTGTGATTAGCAGGTTTATAGTAAATTTTGTAGCCTTTTTTTTTTAACGTTGTTGATGTATTCATATGAGTAGATTCAATTTTAACATTTTCGAAACCATCTATATTTGTGTAATCTTTCTCGTGAAAGTCACCGAAATAAATGGCTTGCGATAACTACCAGTAGATTGTTCACAGTGTATGAAGTTCCCTCATTTCATACGAGTAATAACACAAGTCTACCCCTTTAATGACCCCATTCTCAAAGGATATCTTACCTGGAAGAAATTTGAGGCATATAACAATGTACCATCCCCACCAAGACATATAATCATATCTATTTTTCCTGTTAAGTCATCAATACCTGAAACAAACGATGATAAAAATCAATATAACAAAATACTGAAGTCCAAGGAAAATTCAAAAGGGAAAGCCCCTTATCAAATGCCAAAATAAAAGCTCAAACACATCAAACAAATGGAAAACAACTGTCATATTCCTGACTTGGTACATGCATCGCCTTATGAAGAAAATAGTGGATTTAAAACCTAGTTTTATAGCTAGCTAAACCTCTCACTTGTATGACAGTCACAAAGAATTCCTTTAAATTGACAACAATGTGCAAGCAAAAAAAACAGCATACTGAACTTTCTGTCAAAATGGATATATTGAAAATGGAATTACAGTACAAGTTGCTATCATTATATTTGCATGCTTTTTTTATTCTTATTTATTAGAATTTGCATGAAGCTGCATAATTTTTATATGAAAGTCGGTTATAGCTCATCAGAGCACATGTTTTCTCTGTTATTGTGTACATATGCCAACTTGAAATAAAATTTACTTACTAATACTTAACTGGAAACTACATGTGACATATGCTATTGCAATCGATATCGGATTCGACCTGGAACTTATTAATTATTGGTAATATAAATTATGTGGAAAACAAAAGGAGTTCCTTATTTTAGTAGTATAGATTGTTTCACATTTTGTCATGCTCTGGCCTTTTGTAGCTAGCTTAAGGATGTTCGCTACTCTGTTTCAAAATAACAAGCCTTTTAAAAGACTGTTATAAATTGATAGTATATAAATAAAGAGCTAAAAAGGCAGAAAAAAATGAAGGGTCTGTAAGTTTGTTTTCGAGATATAAGCCATTGAAAATTTTGCGGGAAATAATTCTCTCTAGACTTTTCATACATTTAACATTGGCACCCTTTTTCTTTAAAAAATTATGAAAAAATAACAAGAATTTTATAGCATTTTCAAAGATGACATTTTAAACTATATGTAGTAAAGTATAAAAAGAAAAGTAGGGGTTAGTGGGGGAAATTTTTTAATGACAGTACATGGATATAACTAGAGGATTCCAAATATCTAGCAAAAATTCAAAAACAAGAGGAGCCAACATCCTTAAGGGTATGGGTTTCGCTCATTACAGAAGGTCATGTAGGGTGACTTATAATTGCTTACATCTATATCTTTGGTCTCTGATGAATAGTTTCAGAATCTATATTATTAATTTATTAAATTAATAATATAGATTCTGAAACTATTCATCAGAGACCAAAGATATAGATGTGTAAAATTGATTGTCCTGGACAATCCGTTTTACACAATAAATAAATAAAAACACAGAACTACAAAGAAAGACAAACAACTACAAAGAGCACATGGTCTAGACAGCCGAGTAACTTACCTTCTTCAAAAGTCTGTAATTTTGTTTTGAGATGATCAACAAATTCTTCATCTTGTGACAGCAGGTAATTTTTATCTAAATATTTCTTTTCTATGTATACTACCATATTCTTAAACTGAAAATAAACAGAGTCCATTAGCTATGTTTTATTCACAGGCTCTATTCATTAATTCCTGGGATTTGTGTTTCTTTAAGTCTCACACAAATTTCATAAAAAAATTCTGTATGGAAAAATACACCCCATTCATATATTGCCCAAGACCAAAAATCTGGCCCATTCATATATTTATACATAGAAATGGTGACCCAATCATATATTGAGTCAGAAATTTCTGGTGTAGTGGGTTAATATATTTGGTCTGAAATTTCCCGCTAAGTCATATATCTAGTCTGTAACTACTGGTCTGGTCATATATTAAACCAGAAATTTCTGACCAAGTCATATATTTGACAAGTTGAAAAAGGGACCCATTCCATATATACCTTTACATTGGAAGTGAGCCCATCCCCGCTGTGACTTCACCTGAGATATCTGTAACATCATTTTCAGCAAAACTACAGAATTGACGAAAAGAACATTTATAACTGTAATCAGTTAAATCATGCCAAAGAAATGTCAATTATACAATTGTCAAAAAAAAGGAGAATTTGACATTTTAAACAGTTCAAAATGACCCCTTGGGAAATATGATATAAAAATAAGGAGATTAAGATATGGTATGATTGCTAATGAGACAACTAAATCCACAAGAGTTCAAATGATGGAGATCATTAATAGTTTTTATTGTTTACGTAATTTTCCAATCAGACACAAGAATAACATAAAACAAAGAAAAATCAAAGAGCTGAAAGCTCTGAGGAAAAATGACGCCACTGTCTCTAATATTGAGATATTTTTTATGCAAGTCTTGATTTTCACATGTCCTAATAATTTTAACATTGCAACATGTCTCGTAAGCATATAATTGATATTCGTTTGTGTCTGTTTTTTTCAGTACAAATGAATAGGTCAAGACTACCTGAATGATCTACAGTATCCAATTACTACTGGCTGTTTTTTTGTATAAATAAATAGGTCAAGACTACCGGAATGATCTACAATATCCAATGACTACTGGCTGTTCTTTTGTACTAATAAAAAGGTCAAGACTATTTGAATGATCTACAATATCCAATTACTACTGGCTGTTCTTTTGTACATATAAATAAAGACTACCTGAATGATCTTAAGTATTCTAAGTAATGTGATTTTTTTCTTGCAATTACATTTTTCTAAATCAAGAATATAGACTACTAGTATCCTTTTCAAACCAAATGATTATGAAGAACCTGTTGTTAGCAAGCTCTTATAGATTTTAACGAGAGAAATTTATGTATTACTGAAAAATTATTACACCAGGGTTTTCGATATCACAAACTAGTCAAAACATTTACTAAATTTTATCATCGGTATAAGGACATCATTCGTAAATATAGCTCAACATGCAGACTTCTTATACGTTCAGGTATTTCACATCCAATTTTTTATGGAAATATTCTTTATAAAGCACAAAAATGTCAGTATTCACCTCTGAAACTAACAAAACCTTTAAATAGACTTATTAAGAAGGGATATAGTTACGATACTGTTGTCAGGTCATTAAAGATTGCATATTTTGGCGTTAATATTGATTCACTTATAGGGTCTTTGCATCGGCACTAAACACATTTATTTAAAAACCAGTTGTTGGCATGACACGGGTTATGTTCTTCTCATATATGTTATGATGGTATGATACTAAACCCCTAACGGGAAGGATTGTGCCTGATATTCATATGATGAAGACATAATCTTTCAATCAGTTTAATTGAAGTCTGGAGCTGGCATGTCAGTTAACTGCTAGTAGTCTGTTGTTATTTATGTATTATTGTCATTTTGTTTATTTTCTTTGGTTACATCTTCTGACATCAGACTCGGACTTCTCTTGAACTGAATTTTAATGTGCGTATTGTTATGCGTTTACTTTTCTACATTGGCTAGAGGTATAGGGGGAGGGTTGAGATCTCATAAACATGTTTAACCCCGCCGCATTTTTGCGCCTGTCCCAAGTCAGGAGCCTCTAGCCTTTGTTAGTCTTGTATTATTTTTAATTTTAGTTTCTTGTGTACAATTTGGAGTTTAGTATGGCGTTCATTATCACTGAACTAGTATATATATTTGTTTAGGGGCCAGCTGAAGGACGCCTCCGGGTGCGGGAATTTCTCGCTGCATTGAAGACCTGTTGGTGGCCTTCTGCTGTTGTCTGTTCTGTGGTCGGGTTGTTGTCTCTTTGACACATTCCCCATTTCCATTCTCAATTTTATCTTATACCCCACATACTCATTAAATAAGTTACTAGTGACCTAGTTATTTCTGTTACTTGAAGCAAATTATATTTCTGTATATTTAGACAATAGTATAATATTGTTTTACTAGTTTTATTTCACCTTGAAGATTAGACAAATAGGGATACTCCTTTGATTTTTTATTTCATGTCAGTCAGGTCGCTTTATATGAAACTTGAAACCACTTCTCTGCCATATTGTTATTTTATAACAACTCTGCCCTTGACCATGTTGACCCATGTAATTGATATTCATTCTTTAACCATATATCATAGTCAGTTAGTTTTTGATTTTGCACTCCCACACCACCTTTCATATCTTTCAGGTCATTAAATGTCTGTCTCCATTTAAGTTAATGACATTGAACAATCATGGTATTAAACACAATTTCAATAGTGATAATGCTGTTCTCGTGGGTCACCATATATTCAACTTGGGTAGCATTCCAGTTATTAAAATTTGTGTCAGATTAGAACAATGATCTAGATCTTTAGGAATGGATCTTATAATTTAATATGGAGCCATAGTATGGGACCCCTACTTGGTAAAAAAAAAAAAAAAAAAGCTTGAAAGGATACAATGTCAAGCGGCAAAATCTATCACCAGAGATTACAAGTCAAAAGAGGATGGACGGGATACGTCTCTAAAATGCTTACTGAACTGGAACTACAGCAATACAAGATCTCCAGACAAGACGAACAAAGCGTTGAAGCCAGAAGTTAATATTTATGTAAAAAGTAGTTGAGGGGCTAATTCCCGCTATTGAAACATACTGTCATTCTATAATATCATTGCGTAAGTATTTCTGTATTGGCCTTGTTATTGGTCCATGTCTTGGGTGTATTGGTCTGAGGCGAAGCGGAAGGCCAATACTGCTGGCAGAGGACCAATAATAAGGCCAATACAGAAATACACGTAATAGTATCTTTATTAATTAACTACAGTGTTACAATATTTTTTTTATTTCATTTAGCAAGTGATAAACATTTTTACCTTGAAGTGGAACTATCCAAATCTCAGTTTCCTTTTATAAGATGCAATATCTAATGATTCGGTGCCGTTTGAAGTATCTTCAGCCTTTTCTCATCTGATGAACTTTTCTACCCTTTCCAGTCACTATAAAGTGTTACAACTTTAATTAAGACACAACACATAAATAGTAATTGGAAAGGTACTGCCATTGCATGTGTAATGCAAATATATTTTAAAATAAAAATAATGTAAGAGTTGAAATTGATACAACTATCCATAAGCCAATTGACCAAAGAACGAAGATTTGCATAATTACAGAATGCATATGCCTGGTTCGGGTTTAAAAATAAACGACCGTTTAAATACAAAACATGAGAAGCGACAGCAAACAGCAATAAACTGCTTCGCTGAGCGCAGCTTGATACGCCCGCAGAGGTCCAACCCTGAACAGTTGGGGCAAAAATGGACACAATATTCAAGCTTGATACAGGTCTGAATTTGGATTGTAATTAAATAATTGACATATTATAGGTTTCTGAATAAATGTAGTCAAAGAACTTGAAATTGGTTATATGAATTGAATTTATATTCAATTAAAGATTTCTTGCTGTTGTGCAATACACTGTGCTGTTGCGCAATACTTAGTAAATCTGTTGTCGGACTATAAACAAATAAAGCTCAATTAATTCTCAATGTCATATTAGAAATTTATGAAAATGTAAAGGGAGCTTACATCAATAGATATAAACAATTCACCAAAGTTTCATGAGAATTGCTGACAGCATTTTTGAGTTATTGTCAGAAAACTGGAAAATCCCCTCTTTTTTAATGAATAAAACCCCATAACTCAGAAATGTAAAATGTAAAATTTATAAAATTCTAAACGGAGCTTACATCAATAGATATATACAATTCACCAAAGTTTCATAAGAACTGCTGAAAGCATTTTTGATTTTTTGTCAGAAAACTGGAAAATCCCCCTTTTTCTATGAATAAAACCCTGTAACTCGGAAACGTAAAATCTAAAATATATAAAAATTGAAGGGAGCTCATGTCAATAGATATAAACAATTCACCACAATTTCTTGCAAGTTGGTGAAAGCATTCTTGAGTTATTGTCCGAAAACTGCAAAATCCCCCTTTTTTTAATGAATAAAACCCCATAATTCGGAAACGTAAAATCTAAAATTTATAAAAAAAACGAAAGGGAGCTCACGTCAACAGATATAAACAATTCACCAAAGTTTTATGCAAATTGGTTAAAGCGTTTTTGAGTTAATGTCCGACATGTAGACGACGGACGGACAGACGGACAACGGTATACCATAATACGTCCCGTAAACGGGCGTATAAAAATTGATTTGTACCATCCACATGATGAGATTATGAGGTCGTCAAGAAATGAACTTTGTGATAATTTACTCGTTCCCCAAACCTGAAATAATCCCATCGTCTACTTTCAAAATGCTTTTTAAATGAATGGGACCGTCTTTAACCTATAATATATGACATACTGAATGTTTCAGCTTGTTTATGGTGAGTAAATTGTTTACTTTCAGTTTGAGTTTATCGTGACTTACGATCTAAAAACTAGAGACATTCCGAAATCCTGTTTTGTAAACAAAGATTCATACGCACAGCGTGGGTATAACCGTATTACTAATTTCCGATTATTAAAATCTTCGTAAATCTGGATAAAGACCAGTTTCTATCCATTGGATATCAAAATGATTCCGATTTTCACTTTTTTTAATGATTGTAAAGTTGAAATGGCATGAAAGGCTGACATTATTTAGGAGAACTATTTTGTCTAGCGATTGCTGATCATTGGAGAGTAAAAAGTCCAACACCATAACAAAACGGATCTATTTATCATATATACATACCGATTGTTTACGATTGTAAGACATGTGCATAAAAGTGAAAGCTCGAATAAATATGAAAAATATAACAAAGGGATAGCTCTAAATACCATTTAATAACAAAAAACAAATGGACAGGTCAAGATATCTTTTTCGTAAATAAAATAAAGTATGTAAACTGGTTCCCGTCCGACTACAACACTTTGTTCGAGTGTAGCGTAATACAAGCAGATTCCAGTTAGTATGTAAAATAGTAAATATGAAACCGAGTGCGGTAGGTGGAGGCAATAATCGACTTCCGTAAGTTCTGGTCAATGGTATCAGAAACATGCCGCTCATAGCGTCATTTTCCAAAAATTGAAGTTTTATAAACTCGTCAAAATATAACATTTAAATTGACCTATTACTACAGAATACTGTAAAATTCTCCAACTAGAATTCCCTGGAATATTCTCTTTAAATCTTTCTTGATCTGATACAGATTTGGAGGAATTCAAATTAAAATGAATCAAATCATAAAAAAAGAGATTAAGGAAGAAAAGAATTTATTTAATTTTGACCTCAGAGAATAGAAAAAAAATTTCATCCATCTGATAAACTGTACATGAACCTCTTTAGAAATGTAAAACTTGCATAGATCCAAATATAGTCAAATCTTGCACACCATAATTTATAAAGAAATTCTAAAATCCATGTTTGATATACCATCGATTCATTTATTTACAAATTTTCAAAGATTGAGGAAAACTTGCATTTTCGTGGTTATTTGATTTTGTGGTGTTGCCAAAGTGTGCACACATTCCTATAGAAAATTTATATTTCATTTAACATTTAAATTTGTGTTCAAATTTATTGAAAACAAAAGCTTAATTATTTTTTTCCAAGATAAGAAAGAAAAGAATTGATATGTCACATCTTCAGGAAGGGGACAGGGAAAACTTTAATAGGTAGATAGATCAATACTTTAAACAGTAAAAAAAAATTTATTTTTTATTTTTTTATCCAACACTTTTTATAATAAACAACAGTACAGCAAGTTCATATATATATATATAAATAGAATATAGAACAACTCATCAGAAAAAGTAAAGTACTTGAACTTGAATTTAACTTTGTTGGGTTTTATAAAAAGTAACATAACACAACAAAAAAGCAAAACCACATTTTTTATCTTTCATTTTTGATAATTCTATCTCTTTTACAATGCCCCCCTCTGCTCTGCCTTATGCATAAATATAGTTCCACATACTTTAGATTTGACAAAAAGTGATGTTGAAGTACAACTTGTAATTGTTGCACTGTCTGTAAAACACAAATGATGCCCCCACCTGACCATAAGAAATTATAATTTTAACAATATGTAACAATATGTATGATGATTGCAATAATAATTGCACGCAATAATTTCTGAATTTACAGTACATGTTTTATGCAATATACAGTACACCTTGTTATAATCTTACCTCAACAAGCCAGGAGACAAGCTTTTTAAATGCTGACAACACAGAATCATCATACATTTTCTTTACAACCAAAACTGTTAATGGAGCTTTTACCCACTTTAATTTCTGACTGCTTGGATCTGGAATTGTCCTGAAAAGCAATATATAGAACTACATTGCATTACATGTACAAGGGTCTGAATGAGGGGTCCTGAAAAGCAATATATAGAACTACATTGCATTACATGTACGAGGGTCTGAATGAGGGGTCCTGAAAAGCAATATATAGAACTACATTGCATTACATGTACGAGGGTCTGAATGAGGGGTCCTTCATTTCTGTATTCTTTAATTTTTTTCAGGCCATTTTTCTCTTTCCTTTATACTTTTTTGTCCATTATTCTCTATTCTTTATATTTAAGCACTTCATTATTCTCTATTCTTTATTTTGTAAACACCCATCCACACCCTCGTGTACACAATCATAACTTGTCATATATGGAAAAATAGACACACGTCTGTTCAAAATATCTAGTTTACCCAAATTTCATGCTGTATTTCATACATTACAAATTTATTATGTCACACTCGACATTGGATGAGTGGAACCTTGGAAAAGTCGAATACTTTCGTCCAATCCCTTGCAACTGCAACCTTAAAGAGTTTCGGCTGATATCAAAATGTATTTAAAAATATTATTTAACCCTCAGAGCATTGATTAAAGATAAAGATACCTGATTTTTTTGTACTCTTCACTGGCTACTTCCTCACATTTCACAGTAAAGGCCCCGACATGACAAAATGTAAAATATTCAAACATAAAAAAAAACCAAAGGCCTACTGGTAATTAATGACAAAACAATAAACTAAAAACAATTATGAGACAGCAACCAATTGCAACAAGCACTGAATTACAAGCTCCTGACTAATGGAACACTGCGCTTTTCAGAGCTTTCTGCATTTGGTATCCTGATGTTCATGAATTTGTAATTTGCACTTAATTTTTGACATTTAAGTGCCAGTCTGCCTAAGAATCAGGCAGTGGTGAAAACATGACAAACTAGATATAATTGAGATGGGAGCCATCTCTGTGGGCCCCGCTGTGTGGTAAAAAAATTGTATCTGTATCATTGGACATGGGGTTGTCAACTGAAACCAAAGTTTTTGACCTTGACCTTTGACCTAGGAAGTTGTACATAAATTATGACACACCCTCTGGTGTTGGTTTATATACATGTCAAGTATAAACTTTGAAATCATAACGGTTCTCAAGATATAGAGCGGACATGATCTTTACCATAGGACATGGGGTTGTCAAATAAAACCAAAGTTTTTGTCCTTGACCTTTGACCTAGGAAGTTGTACATACATTATGACACACCCTCTGGTGTTGGTTAATAGATATGTCAAGTATAAACTTTGAAATCATAACGGTTCTCTAGATATAGAGCGGACACAATTTGTTACGGACGGACAGGCTGATCACTATGGCAGACCCTAATAAAAACCCGCTGAAGTATACATTGATTTCAGTTCATAAAAGGTAGTAATGCATGAAATAACTTTCTCTTCCATTTCCTGTTCTAATTATAGTAGATACAATTTGGTTGAAATGCACTTTAAATCAACATTTAAGGGGAGATAACTCTGTAATTTGCTAACTTTCTAACCAAAACTTATCTTGAGTTATTTTGAATTACCAGACATACAGAAACAAAAGACATACTATTTTAGCTTAGGATGAGGATTTCTTCAAAGAATACTAATAGAATACTAATTCAACAACCACGTGCACACATATTACCTTAAATTAGGATAGAGCGAAGCAGTCCACAGCTTTTTAGAAAGCTCAAACTTGTATCATTATTAGATTAAGGACAATAAGAAAGCTAGGAATAAGATGTGTTGTGCTTTTAGATGTACTCAGTATATTTATCAACAAGTAGTGCATGACTTCAGTACTAATCTAAGTTTTACCTATCAGGTACACAAACTGTAAAGGCCTTGCTCTGATAACCTATATATGATTTCAATTATGTATGATTACTGTAGAAACATTAATTTTCGTGGGGTTAAAATTTCGTGGTTTTGTCTCTTTATAAGATTTCATGGGGATTTAATTTCGTGGTTTCCAGGAAATGGAAGTGATATTATATGTAGGTTAAATTTTCGTGGGGGTTTTAATTTCGTGGATATATTCTTTCCACGAAGTAAACGAAATTAAATCGTCCACTTAAATTTCTGCTTTTACAGTATTTATAATATTTTGATGTTTCTTTTAAAGAAAGCACTTGGCCATCTTATTAATAAGAATGTTCCCTACTTTTTCAATCTTCTTCCTTTGACCTTTTGCTGCTGTGCTGCAAATGTTGCCAATTAAACATCTTTCATTTTCATATCATAGACTACTAGGAAAAGTAAGAGTCAATTCAGATACTAAAGTCTTAATTTAATTAATATTAAAATAAGAAGTGGTATAATTGCCAATGAGACAACATTCCACCAGATTAATCAATTGATTGTTGGTTGCTTAATGTCCAGTGGCAAATATTTCATGACATTCCACCAGAAACCACATGACTAGAAGTAAACAGCTTTAGGTCTTTTTTATGAAATTTGTCAAAAATAAGGTTCATTTTTATTCTTACTACACATTTTAATTGCTCTTTAAATATAACATTAAAATTTTAATAAAATGCTTCGCTGGGCGCAGCTTGATACGACCGCAGAGGTCGAACCCTGAACAGTTGGGGCAAGTATGGACACAACATTCAAGCCTGATACAGCTCTGAATTTGGATTATGATTAAATATTTGACACAGCATAGGTTTCTGACACAGAGAGAAAGTGGTCTAAGAACTTCAATTTTTTTAATTTACCTATTATGGTCCAATGTCCAAAATCAAAATACATGGTTAGATTCAGCATATCAAAGAACCCCATATATTCAATTTTTGTTGAAATCAAACAAAGTTTAATTTTGGATCCCAACTTGGATAAACTTGAAAACTGGTCCCATAATCAAAAATATAAACACATGTTTAGATTCAGCAGATCAAAGTAACCCAAGAATTCAATTTTTGTTAAAATCAAACTAAGTTTAATTTTGGACCCTTTGGACCTTAATGTAGACCAATTTAAAAAACGGGACCCAAAATTAAAAATCTAAAAACACGGTTAGATTTGGCATATCAAAAAACCCCAATAATTCAATTTTTGATGAAATCAAACAAAGTTTAATTTTGGACCCTTTTGAACTCAATATGATCCAATTTGATAGCGGGCCCACAAATAAAAAATCTAAATACATGGTAAGATACAGCATATCAAACCCCATATATTCAATTTTTGATGAAATCAAACAAAGTTTAATTTTGGACCCCAACTTGGACCAACTTGAAAACTGGGCCCATAATCAAAAATCTAAACACATGTTTAGATTCAGCATATCAAAGAACCCCAAGAATTCAATTTTTGTTAAAATCAAACTAAGTTTAATTTTGGACCCTTTGGACCTTAATGTAGACCAATTTAAATAAAATGCTTCGCTGGGGCGCAGCTTGATACGACCGCAGAGGTCGAACCCTGAACAGTTGGGGCAAGTATGGACACAACATTCAAGCTTGATACAGCTCTGAATTTGGATTGTTATTAAATATTTGACACAGCATAGGTTTCTGACACAGAAAGAATGTGGTCTAAGAACTTGAATTTTTTTAATTTACCTATTATGGTCCAATGTCCAAAATCAAAATACATGGTTAGATTCAGCATATCAAAGAACCCCATATATTCAATTTTTGTTAAAATCAAACAAAGTTTAATTTTGGACCCCAACTTGGACCAACTTGAAAACTGGGCCCATAATCAAAAATCTAAACACATGTTTAGATTCAGCATATCAAAGAACCCCAAGAATTCAATTTTTGCTAAAATCAAACTAAGTTTAATTTTGGACCCTTTGGACCTTAATGTAGACCAATTTAAAAAACGGGACTTAAAATTAAAAATCTAAATACACGGTTAGATTTGGAATATCAAAGAACCCCAATAATTCAATTTTTGATGAAATCAAACAAAGTTTAATTTTGGACCCTTTTGACCTCAATATGAACCAATTTGATAGCGGGGCCCACAAATAAAAATTCTAAATTCATGGTTAGATTCAGCATATCAAAGAACCCCATATATTCAATTTTTGTTGAAATCAAAAAAAGTTTAATTTTGGACCCCAACTTGGACCAACTTGAAAACTGGGCCCATAATCAAAAATCTAAATACATGTTTAGATTCAGCATATCAAAGAACCCCATATATTCAATTTTTGTTGAAATCAAACAAAGTTTAAATACTGGACCCTATCTTGGACCAACTTGAAAACTGGGCCCATAATCAAAAATCTAAACACATGTTTAGATTCAGCAAATCAAAGAACCCCAAGAATTCAATTTTTGTTAAAATCAAACTAAGTTTAATTTTGGACCCTTTGGACCTCAATGTAGACCAATTTAAAAAACAGGACCCAAAATTAAAAACCTAAATACACGGTTAGATTTGGAATATCAAAGAACCCCAATAATTCAATTTTAGATGAAATCAAACAAAGTTTAATTTTGGACCCTTTTGACCTCAATATGAACCAATTAGATAACGGGGTCCACAAATAAAAAATCTAAATACATGGTTAGATTCAGCATATCAAAGAACCCCATATATTCAATTTTTGTTGAAATCAAACAAAGTTTAATTTTGGACCCCAATTTGGACCAACTTGAAAACTGGGCCAAAAATCAAAAATCTAAATACATGTTTAGATTCAGCATATCAAAGAACCTCATATATTCAATTTTTGCTAAAATCAAACAAAGTTTAATTTTGGACCCTTTGGACATTAATGTAGACCAATTTGAAAACTGGACCCAAAATTAAAAATCTAAATACACTGTTAGATTCGGCATAACAAATAAATAAATGTAATCAAAGATTTTACAAATCTAATGCGCCATACTGTGCAATTAAAGATTACTTCTTGAAATTTTTCAATATTTGAAATTTGAAAAAAAAATAATATTTGAAGAATAATTCTTTTTAATTTCTGAAATCTGAAATGAGAAAAAATTGGCCCCCCACAATTTCTTTTTATCCCCCCCC